AATGGCTGGTGTATCACTCAAATGTCCTGAATTAATAACAGAGATACAGCCCACAGATGGCATATAGTATGGTTTGAGACAGACTCATTTTGACAGGTGACAAAGACAACTACTCATCTAGTCATGTGAAATTAAGCACTTACGGGAATGGCAGGTGTGAACTGCCTCCTTTATACAGATCTGGAAGCATCCCATCACTCACAGAAAGCGCCATACTAAAATCCCAGACAACTCTGGGATTATGTTAAATCCACAAAGGAGGCAAGCTAAGGCTGAGATGTGAGTCCCTGCCCTTTTAGTCTGGATGATCCAGAGTCTCTTATGATTTGGACAGAGCCCCGAATACTTAAAAAGAAAATTAGCTGAATATTAATTTCAAGCTGCTATACATTTTGCCTTATTTTTTACTTTTCAGACTAATTCCCATTCATTGTTTATCTACTACCATTGCTTTAATGGATTTTTCCCAACCCTCCCTTTCCATCAGTCACTGGAAGTGGATGTTAAACACTGTCTCACCAGAGCACTAACAAGTAGTTTCATAATATGACTGGGGGAAAAAACACCTGGAGGTTACCTCTAAAGCAGGGTGCATTCCTTATGTACTTTTGCTACATGTTGATATCATTGGGTGATAAAATCTTTGACATCTGGCATTGAGTGTAATTAGAGCAGTAGCTCTGTGCAAAGACATATGGGCAAGAACACACAGGGTAATCACACACACATACACTCCTTGAAATCACACACACATACACTCCTTGAAGGCTTTTCTAGGACTGTATGCTGGATTATAACACCAACCTTGTTTTTCACATTACATTAAACAAAACAAAACATTCTGGAGCAAATTATTTTTCCCTGGACATAGTCCATGTCTGTTCATTAAAATTTTCTTCCATGTAAATAAAATCCCGTTTTCCTCAATGTCATGTTGCATCAACATTTTAAGATAAGACTGACACTGGGCAAGGGCATATCTCAAGATCTCAATTTGAGACCAACCTTGAAATAAGCAAGTTATATGCTTCATGGCGTATCCATTCAAACTGACTGCTAAGACTGTGAGAGATTTTTGGAAAATGCAGTTCTACCTCCATTGCTTGGCCAGGTTTTCTCTGAGAGGAAAACTGAGGATGTCTCCTGCAGGTAAAGCAAACTCCAACTTCTTTCTCGGTCTTAGTGCCACGAGCAAGTGTTGGAGTCTCCGGTTCTTCAGTTTCTTTAAACACACCAAATAATCCTCTCTGTCATAACAAGAAGTCTGCAGAAGTCCTGCCAGGATTTGCTCTGCTCACTTTGATGTGCCTACTGAAAGCAGCAGTGAAATTTTTAAGTGCAGTTCCTCATGCTCCCTTCACAGCCATTGGTTCGTTCAGTCTGGGTTGAACTTTGTAGTGGACAGACTAAATTAGTTTCCAAGGAAATCAGAGCAGTATCCATACTCCGGGTTCACTGTGAATGTACTCAGAGCCCTGGGTGGAACAGAGGGATTCCAACCAATGCTATGTCTTTGAAACAGCTTTGGATCATGGGTAGCGGGAAAGTTTGATTAAGAGAATTAAATTTATTTTGAAGTAAAGACTCCAAAATGCAGATAAATTTAGATAGAGTGGCTTTGCTACCAAAATCTGTGTTTTCCTCACCTGCTCTTAATACTTCATACTATGCACTAATGTAAGCACAGACATCATCCATGGCTAAAGAAAGCAGCAGATAAAAAAAAATCTAGTACTTTAGATTATACCCTGAGTAATTATGATAAAGGCTTTTTGTAATGACATAGGTTAGTATCCAGCATGCCAAAAAGTATTTATATTTTGCATGACTATAAAACATTGCATGGTTGCAAACACATCTTTCCTTTTAGACAAGAAGGCCCAAGTGAATGCAGAATTTATCATTTGAAAACATGTGCCTGCTTCTCATCCCAAGACTATTCATGCTACACCAAGGCACTACTACCACCATATTTACTGAATAAAAAACTAAAGCACTAAGTTGTCAGACCACACAACACAAGCATAGTAACGATTTTCATGAGATCAACAGTATAGTCTGAAATGACAAACATCTTCAAGTACAGAAAGGCATTTATCTGACAGCAGTAGCTGAAGGCACTGGTAATGCTATTTTAAATTATATGAAAACTAAAACTGACTCCCTACCTCAAACAAACTTGAGTTTGAATGGCCACTGGTCCAGGCCCCAAAATCTACCAGGCCTTCCAGCGTAAGAATCTTAATGCCCATTAAAAGCTCTCACAGCTTTCCTTTTCCCCCTCCTCTGCTCTAATCCTAGCACCCCAGACCCAAGGGAAGTGGTCTTCCTCCTCTCCTTGTGCTGGCCTCCATCAGTGGAACAGCAGAGCTGTTGGTTACTTCATAGTGGAGACTAAGAAACTGATTCCCAGACACTGAGGCAGATGAAACACTCTTACCTGCAGGTAAGCCCAAATAAATATGGAAGAAAAGTAAACAAATCAAAATTATTGCTTTTAGGCTGAGTCTCTAAGGAAGCTCTGTCCAGATCTCAAAATTAATTTCTGCATTTAGATGACCACTGTTGCTCTGTGCCACATATCATTTCAAAAGTTAAACAAACCCCTGCTGAGCAGTTGCATGTGTACAATTGTATGCAACTGCCAAAAATGTCTGATTTTTTAAAAAGATACATGACTGGAATGACTTTGTCCTTTTGCATTGCATACAAAAAGTAACACAAGATTAGTACATTTTCCCAGGTAAGTTTTTTTCAAAGAAAGACAAACAACATCATAATTAGACAGACGACTTCTCACAAAATAAATTAATAACATGTAGCACCTTTGAAAAGAATTAATGAAAGATGTTTGCAATGAATAACACATCTTCATACCTTTCTTAGGAGATAACAGATCTACATCTGGATCTTATCCTAATCAACTGACATGAGGGTTAATCAGCTTCTCACTTAATTTTGTTTTTTTAAACAAATTACAGTTTTACCCTTTCCTCAACTGGAAAGTTAAAAGCATGTTGCCCATAAAAAGTTTATTTTGTTTGGTGAAAATATATACAGGAGACTGCTTACATTCCCCAGTGATCCTTCAGAGAAAAATCTGGTAAGTTTGGAAGAGCAGATGAGACAGAAATGCAAAAAAAAAAAAAAGAAAAAATTCTCACTAATTTAGTTTGACAAATCAGCAAAATTATGGCACCAAATTTCAACATCAGAAATTCTTGGTCACACATGAAACACAGGAATGTGATCAAATAATCCTTAGGAAAATCATATAAACTGGTAATTGTATGGAGCACTGAAGAGGATGAGCAACAGCAGATGTTGCTACTGCACAAAAGGGCTGGAGCACACAAACACACATCTGCACAGCAACATTCAAGACACACATTTTCAACAGACTTTCATGAATTCCCCTCCCTTTGCCATGACACCCAAAGATCCATTTTCAAAGAGATAAGAATACTTTTCCTAAATATGAGTCAGGTAAAAAATAAGCCATACCTACAGCAACTTCTGGAAAATTTAGAGACAGGAAGACTAGATATCATACATGTACAGATTTGTGACATGCTCACACTTAGCATGATTGAAGGAAAGCAACATTCTTTCCACTTTTCTTGGATTATATCAAGGGTGCCCCTTGTCTCAGCAGAGCAGTTTGTTAATTACAGCACCTGATTTTTCTATTTTTTTAAAAGATTTGAGAGCACTTATACAATGACCAGCAGTGACAAAAGCAGCAGTCTATGCCAAAACACTTTTAATAATGTGAATTAAAAATGAAAGCAAAGGAATTAACTGTGAAAATTGCTAAAAGCTTGATCTGCTTTTGTACAAGACACTGAAAAATCTTACATTTAGAAAAAATATAAAGAAAGAAAATCTTGTGGCAGATATGAGAGTCCCAGACACAATGCAAAGTTCTCAAAAACAGAACCACAGCACTTCCTAAAGGCTCCTATTCAATGGGCTGAGTTAAAATTCTCTCTCAGTGAAGCGTATGCTAAACCAAAGAATAAGATAACAACCCAGGAAGTTTCTTGCAACTTTATGCAGTTCAAATTCTTTAGCTGGGGAAGTAAAAACCTGCTTATTCCTACCAAGATGAGATTCCTCTGGCCCACATGCTTTAACAATAGGCAAAGGTGCAGTTATGGCAGTGATAAGAAAATACTGTCCTTGACATCTTAAGAAAACTCAAGTGCAACTATTAATGTTATATTATCTTTGGGAAAGCAGCATGGATACCAGCTACTTATCTGGGTATTACACATGCACATGGTTACAAAATTTACTTTCAACTACATCCTTCCCTCCTTTTTCCTCCTCTTTACAGTTGTGTTTATTCCGTTGGACAGTTCCTAGGAATTTCAACAAATTCATTCAGTGACAGAATCCATCAAAACCAACCTACATTTCAGAAGAAACTCTCACTTCCTCCTCTGCATGAATAGGCAGATTTAAAATTCACACTGTTATGTACTTCTAATTTAATTGAACTGTTTCGTTACATGTATTTTAAACCTAGATACACACTTACATTTCTATTTCTTATCATGGAAACTCAAAACATGCCAAAAATAGGATAATGAATGCATCACTGAGTGAGACCACCATATAGTGTTTCTGGAAATATTTGTCGAGGTGCAGCAGGAAGAAAAATTCAGTCCCACAGTCTATCACTTGCAAATCACATTTCCTTTAGTTCTTGAAAACACTAGACATATGCACAAATGAACATCACTACAATAAAGTCCTACATGTCAGAGATCCCAGTAATATTATAATTCCAAAATTACTTGAGTATCTTATTATCTCAATAACTTGCTGTTTCAAGCAAATGGTTTAACACTGTTAGTCTAATTTCATAGATGTATTTTAAGTCTATTATGTTTTTAAGCTACTGCTCAAAATGAAAACACTTCGCACAAGGTTCCATGCTGACTCACTCAATGAATGTCCATGTCAGCATATAAATGATTCCTTTTCTTTCTTACCTCCAGATGCTCTAAAATATAGGGAGGGTTTGTCATGCCAAGCCTCAGCATAGCTCCCTCAGGAATAACTTCAACCAGCTTCCACAGAAGCGTGGGGAGGTCTGTGCCAATGTCTCTGCCATAAGCCCCTGTGTCTTCACTGGTCAGCCATATCTCACAAACACCCTCTGTGAATAAAAGAAAGAGATAATTAACAAATCTGTTTTAGAGCTGTTTATTTTATCATACAGCTGCTCACTCTTTTAAATGCAGTATTTCACATGGCTATTATGCAGCCAGACTGGGTATTCAATTGCAAAGGGGAGGGAAGGAGAAGGAAGGCTTATCCCATGGGTAGCAGTGGGTTATTAAGTTCATTTTATGAGCACAAGAGTGGTACAACAATGCTGTAAATTATCATTGCTGTGGAGTGATTAACATTCACAGCCAATGACTAATTCTGTGCTGCCTCTACAGCAAGTCAGACAAGTTTAGTACTCTGTTTTATTTTTTGAGCCTAATTCATTAAACACCGCAAGAGACATCACCCAAGCAGAGTTTGCACTAATGGTTATTACAGTAGTTAGCTTATTAACTGGTAAGCTTCTAGTGAGCAAAACCAGCCGTAAAGCACTGTGATTAACATTCCTCCTGAAGTAACTATTAAATCTTACATTTTTTAAATTATACAATTAGCAATGCAATATTAAGCTTGTACTGAAAAGGTTAGTGACCACTGCACGACTGAGTGCAATACAGAAAAACCTGTTTCCTGGCAGTTAATGCTTCATTTTCCATCAATCAGAGCCTTAGGAAGTAGTGCATTTGATTTATATTGTAAATAGCAACCTTGAACACTGATATTTGGTAGTAATATCCTCCTACTCAAAGAGGGGAAAGACTGCAGCACCCTTTAATAATAGTTGAAAGCACTGAGGTTTCATGCAGCCACTTCTGCCAGACTGCCCAGCTTTCAGCCTTTTTGCAATGAAATCCCTCTCCCCTTCCTTACCACCCCAAAGCAAGAAATAAACCGTTGAAAACAGGGTGTCTGTGAAGAAAACACCTGTGACTCACAGCAAGATAAGATAACTTTTAAAACCAATCATGAAATGGTGAAAGAAATAATCAACCACTAGAAGGTGCATAATTCATCAAAGCACTCTTTGGGCCAGCAGAGAAAATATCGTAAAATGTAAATGTTTATGCTACAAATTTATACTCAAATGAGGAAAACTTGAGCACATACACTGACTTTAATCACATAAAAAGCAATAAACCTAGAAAACCAAATGTTTTGCAAAATGTAAATTGAAGACTGCTACTCTTAAATTCACGCTGTAACAATAATGGCAGAGCAAGCCATGCTGAGCATCAATGTTAATCCTGTTGGCACAAAAATGTTTTCAAGGTAATTTAGTACTTAGAATAAAAAATACTTTAAAATTAAAGGTTAACTGGAAAATTTCTTGCTTTTTAAGTTTTGCTTCAAGAATAGGTCAGTGAGGGAAATGTACAATTTGGATCTTGAGTGAAGCATGGTGTAAAGCATCCCTGAAGTACTAAGTGCTCTTTGGTTGACCATTTGCAGACACAAGTTTGTAGCCACACTCAAACTGTGCACCCTGTGCAGAATCTGCCTGCAGGACACAATCACACAGTGGATTTCAGTGCACTTGCTAATGTTTCTGGAATTCATCTCAGTACCCACAATGAAACATACTCTTGGGTTTGCCCCCTGCCCTACATTTTCCTGAAACACATGAAAAAATAAGTGAATTTTATATGCTCTATGTTATAAAGAAGAGAAATGTAAGGCATCTAAATGATTGAATGGTCCTCTTTTGTTTAGTTTGGATTTCTTTATGTAAGTCTCCAATAGCCATAAGAACACTACAAAACTTATTTATTGATTTGCTGAGTTTCGACTGTAACAGAGTAATTCTCATTTGCAAGCTTTCAGCCTGAACAGTTGCATGGGGTTTGGGTTGTATTTCCTTTTCCTTTTTTTCATGAAAATTGCTAATGGAATACTGCTTCACAGTTACCAGATGAACACTGAGGAAAAAAAATAAATCACTGGCTAGGAATGGAAATAACATTCCAGTGGAAAACAACAACGAGCTTTTAAAGCTGCATAGGTGGGGACCATTAGCCCCCTGGTGGGCTGAAACTTCAAATTAAATCACAAGAAGAGGAAGCAGCTGTAATAGTAAATCAGCAACAACAGAAATAAATGTCTCATCTGCTCTCTGATCAGGGTGTTGAACAACAAGCAATGGAAATAATTCATGCTGAGAGATCCAAGGATGTAGTCTTATTAAGGGGAGGGGGGGCCAGGGAGGAGGAAGAACACCTGTATTTTAGGAAAAAGTTCACGTCCCAATTTCAGGTTGACAAAATGGATCTTCAAATACTAAAAGCTACTGTGAGTGATAAATATTTACAAGTAGGATCATTAGGATAAATCAACTTTGTACATAACTGTGTGTGATAGAGGTTTTGTGTCAACTGATTTTAGGTTGGTTTTTTTACTCCTTTGCATCCACAGTTTAGGAGCCTAAACTTACACCAGGTAAGAGGAGAAAACAATAGACCTCTCAAACAGTATTAATGAAGTCAGTCAACACTTCCTATTTTCACTCCACCCAGTTCCCCTCCAAACTCCAGCCCTCCACAGGAACCTATTTAAATCCACTGTCTAATCATGTACAGAATTTTTTTCCATTCTTTTGCAGTGAACCTCATTCGATCTTTCACCACTCTGTTACTGGGCAATTTTGGTGCTAATAAAGGCAAGCTGATTTTGTAAACAAGAAAATTGATCCAAACAGCAGACTTCAGATGTGCAAACTCAGAGCATTTGTTACAGTATTAAGGCCAATTATCATTATATCCAAGTAATTACAAGTCTGCCTTTGGTCACAACTCGTGGTTTATTTCTCACTCTGCCATCACTTTCCAGCACAAAAGAGAAACCTTAACAGTTGGCCTCTGATCTCTGCCCTGCTGTAACTGGAGATTACTGAGAACGAAAAATGTTGGAAAAAGAATAGATTCCAAGCAAATGAAGAAAGCTGTGACCCTATTCCTTCTCACATGTCTCAAATATAAAGAATACTCATTGCAGATTATCTGACAGGGGATTTAACTTAATTTCTGTGGGGTAAACAATCCTTGTCATAAAGGAGATAAGAAATCTTATACCTATCAGTTTTACAAAATTTGTGCACTTCTCGTTTAGACACTACTTGAAATTATTAATTTCTTTAATAAAAATAACTTCTAGCATTTTTACTTCGCTTTATTTTCACTTCACAATTGTAAACACTGTTTTCAGCAGTACCATCTTTTAAACTGAAGGGAAGTGAAGTCCATTGGAAAAATGAATTTATTTCAATCTACACAAAGATCTGAAGACGTTAAAATACTGAACACCAACCCCACTGAAAATCTCATGCTTGATAACTGACTTTGTACAAATGAAATTCAATCCCCAAATCCCCCCCCTCAATTTTCTTCTCTCCTCCCCATCTTGTTCTCCTCTCTCCTGGCAGATTTTTTAATGTTAACAGGAGTGGCTTTTCCAACAGAGCAATTCTCTGCAGGCTGCCTCAGTGGGAGGCCCCTGACTCTGACCCTCTCAGTAGCCCACATATGCTTATCAATAACTGCATGACCTCCTTGAGATTCCTGCTCCAACACTGAATTCTTATGGCAGCCTGCAGTGCTGCACAGACCACAGAAATGCTTCTCCCACTGCACCACAGAAATCTGAAAGACCATCTGCCAAGGGGAAGCCTTCCATAAATGTTTGTGTCTTGCAGACTTGAGTACAGTCAATCTGACCATTCCTGATCACAACCTTAGAATTATTTAAAAACAAAAACATCATGGCCAAAGATAAAGGCTGAGAAAACATCAAATTCGTTGTTCAGAATGAGCTTTAGCCTAATTTATTTTCTCTTCAGTGTTTTGAGTTTATTTATCCAGCATGGATTTTACAGGAACCATTTACATACCTGATGTGCATGTGCTAGATTACTGAATCAGTGCCTCAGCTGGGAAATTGTGAAGAACCGTGCATATAGCAGATCACAGTACCAATCTGTATATAATGCAAGTTTAAATAGAAACTGAGATTTGGAGGAATCAGTTTCCTCCTGTAATTGTGAAGTACTCTGTGAGCACTGATACACTATCATCCAAGTGTCCTCTTAATACAGTTCAACCACATGGATCAGCACTGAAGCATCCCATTGCAGGGACTTCCCTGAAAGAGAAAATCAAACTGGGAACAACTCACTGATGCTAAGGGGGATTTGGGAAGGATTAATTTCCAGTTCACCAAGAAACTCTTATCCTTATTTCATCTGTATATATACTGGTCTTCTGGAAGATAGAAAGAATGGAGCTGGTAACAATCCTGTACAAACCCTAGTTATTCAGACAGTAACTCACACCAAACTGTCACAGTTAGAGAATGCAGGATATCTGGCAAGCAGATGATGCAAGTAGAGTGAAGAAAAAAAGACAGGTCTAGGTTCAGGGCTGTGGAAAGAGGCAAACTGTCAAGCTATGACCTCAAGGATCAATGCTTTTTCCCTATTTTGTAAAAATTCAGGTCAGCTTATGGTTCAGCACTGTATTGTACAGATAAATGCAAAGTTGCAGTTCTGCTCATGACACACTGTGTACAAACCACCTCACAGTCTGAATTTCTAGAAGATCTTGATTAATACTCAGAAGTATTTCCTCTTAGAAGACCTGTTTTTTTTACCCTTCTGGACAGTCTTAAGGACACGGAAGATTGTTGTGCACTCCAGTTTTCTTAACGCTTGCCACAAACAGAAGAACAAGATCTGAACAATGTCATGTACATGGGCTGACCTACTGCAATTGCAGTTGTGTTCTGAGTATTTCCAAGGACGGCAACACCACCAGACACTTTGTGTAACCTGTTCCAATATACGACCACCCTAAGGATAAAATATTTTTAATTGCACCTAATTGTAATTTGCTGTGTTCCAACTTGTCCAACTTGTTACCTACCATCCTACCTCTGCAAGAGCTGATTGACTTCAAGACAATTTGACTTCAAGAAGACAGTTTGGCTGTCTTCTCTATACTGTTCCATTAGGCAGTGGTAAACAGCAATAATAACTCCTCTTAGCTTTCCTTTCACAAA